AAATTTCATTATTATGATACCAGCTGAATAGGGATGAAATAGCACAGAAAAATAGAGCTTCATTTTCTCTATCGTCTCATAAAAACAGAAAATTTCATCAAGCCTTCTATACGAAATCGAGATGCGACTGCCACTACTTTTGGGTACCCCTAAGTATATCTAATCTCAAAATATGATCAATTTGATCAAATTTTTTTCACAATAATTTAAATATTTTATTTAAGTTTACTTTTAAATGTAACAAGATCGATAATTGAAATTCAACTGATTTCGATTTTTTTTATACTCGTTCTATCAATCATTTACTTTTTGGTAGAGATATTAGATTTAATAAAAATTCTTCAGGCATTAGTATTAAAATTAACCTTAATGTTTTTCTATTATTTGCATTACAAATAATTAACGTCAAATTATTAGCATTATTTTTATTTCTAATATATATTCTATCTACATCTATACCTCTTAGAATTCATGTTCATAAGTTTTTGATAACTAAATAATGGTTTCTTTAGTCGAAAATATCATTCCCAAAATAAAACAAAGTTGTTCGGTTTTAGGAATCTTTGAGATTGAAGTATCCGAGACATTTTCGTCAAGAATCAATGTATTAGCATTTCAAATAATATTAATTTAATGCTAACACCTTGGCATACCCTAGTATTAACGCTAATTTTAATGATGGTGCCTTAATCATTAGCATTATTATTCATGAATGCTAATGTTAATGTGACACTTCTAACTTTTGTGAAACATGACATAAAAGAAATGTTGAAATATAGGGGTAGAAATTTGGATCCCCACAGACGTGACAGACATGCGAGGAGCGACTCATCATAGACCTGACACATATTCTTAGTCACGACTCCTCACAGACATGACAGATACAACCATAGAAACGTCACAGACGTTATTGATATATGATCATAGATCGTGTATCAACAACGTCTTTTTTTATTATATAAACTATTTCCTTATTTCATTTCTCAAGGATTCAGTAAAAATGATGGTGAAGACATATGTATTAAAATAGATAGAATAAAATAATGTCCGTGTGATGAGCAATAACATCTGCATTGTGTTTTATATTTTCATCTCACATAAACTATACTACCAGTTTTTTAATTAAACTTAAATTATTTGAAATTTTAAATATTTTTTATTTCTATTTTCAAGATTTGATAAAGAAATTTTTCAAAAAAAATATTGAAACTTACGTGCACATAATATTTCTTAATTTTTTCAAATTATACATATTAGTGAAATATGCATAAGTTCGATCACATCTAGCAACATCTTTATCAATTCGATGTAAATTCACTGAAAAAGCATCAATAACTTCTTTTGTAAATGATCCAAAACAAATCGGTGTTAATGTACCATCTAAATAAAAAAAAACAAAAAAGAAGTTATTCTAAATAAATAAAAACAAAAACTTTTACCCGATTTATCAGCAACATGTTCATCACTTAAAATTTCTACAGCATCCATATAAACATCAGTTCCTGATGTTAAACTAGATGATGGTGATAAAGTATTATCATGATTTTTTTGTTCAATTTCATTATCTTGTTCATTTATTAATACTTCATCATTATCAATAGGTTTCATATGAGCATTATCTTCATCATTATCCATATCTGTACTTGTTTCAATAATATTATAAGGTGATGAACATGTTGCTGATAAATCGGGTAAAAGTTTTTGTTTTTATTTATTTAGAATAACTTCTTTTTTGT